GCTGGTTCCTCCCCCTCAGAGGCTGACTCCAACATGTGGGAGAACCCCAGGGCTCAGTCCTCCTCCTCTCCTCACCTCTATCTCTCCAGTCTACTTGCAGAAAATACCATCTCTATGCAAACAACTCATGAATCTCTCTTCCTAGTCCAGCCCTTTCCCCTGAGCTCCAGAAGCACAGGTCCTGTGGCCTCCTCCACTTCTTCACTTGGAGGTCATCTCAGGCACCAGGCTTCACATACCCAGTACAAGAAAATCACAGACCAAGCTCAGTTATGAATATTGATGCCAGAATGCAAATAAGAATGTTACCACAGGGACCAGGCCCAGACCAGGTCTGCCTCAGACAGGCTGGTAGTGTGTGGATCCTTGACTTTGTGCAGGAAAGATTTCACAATATGAATCCAAGTGATTTTGAGAGTATGTTTATTAAAGCTGGGACAGTGAAACAAAGGAAGGGCTTAAGATAGAAAAAGCAACAGGCGATAACCTAGGAGAGGCAACTTTGGCTTCTTGGAAATGTTATAAAAAATAAGACTAGCCCAGCCGGGTGTGGCTCAGCAATTGAGCATCGACCTAGCATCCAGGAGATCCCGGTTGGATTCCTGGTCAGGGCACATGCCCAGGTTGCAGGCTTGATTTCCAGCTGGGGCGTGCAGGAGGCAGCTGATGAATGACAACTCTCTCACCATTGATGTTTCTATCTCTCTCTCTCCCCCTCTCTCTTCCTCTCTCTGAAATCAATAAAGATATATTAAAAAGAAAAAAGAAAAAAAATAAGCCTAGGCAGGGCTGCTTTGGCTTACTGAGAAATAAAAATCACAATGAAAGAAGTGAGCCAAGGCGAGGCTGCTGTTAGCTCACTGTAAAGTCAGAGAAAAAAGGGGGCCTGGGATACAGGTTCCGACAATAAACCTGGGATGAGCTGCCACTGCCTGCTGCTCCCCTGGTTGCAAGTCTCCTGGGGACCCTTAAAGTTTAGGAGAAAGAGAGCAGAGATACAAGGTATGGGAGTGCTCTAGCAAGAGCTCCCACTGGGTCCTTTGTCCTGAGGCTTTTTATATGGGAGGGTCTTAACAGAATATTCATTAGCTTTCCAGGTGTGTCCTTCAGTAATTGATTCATCGAAATGTTTGTATAGAGGGGTCAAGGTTATTTTCTGGTTAGTTTCATATTTAAAGAACATCTTCAAAGAGGGACCAGGACGAAGGGGACCGGGGCCAAGGCCAGTCTGCTTTGGGACTGTCTGGAATGTGAAACCAATTGCTCCTAAATGTCTTTGGTTAGGAAAGATAAAACCCTGTGATTCATTAGCTGGCTGTAAATTGCTCAAATTGTTTGGCCTTGTTTAATTATTTTGTTTCAGTTCCCCTTATTCCACTTTGTCAAGGAATTCCCCTAGCTCCTTACTATCCTGCATCAAGTATAAGCAAACACCATCCAACTGCACATTAGTAATAATTTTAAATCATAACCAAGCAAGGCTTATTCCAGAAAAGCAAGGATGGTTTAATATTAGAAACTCTGTTAATATAATGCACAGTATTAATAGGTAACATGAGAGAGAGAGAGAGAAAAAAAACAGTCTTGTCAATGTACACTAACAGGACATTTGGTAAATTTCAACATATATATCAGTTCTTTATTTTAGAAAGAAAGGAAGGGAGAGAGAGAAAGAGAGAGACATTGATTTGTTGTTCCACTTATTTATGCATTCATTGGTTTATTCTTGTATGTGCCCTGACCAGGCATCAAACCCCCAACCTTGGCATATCTGGACGATGCTCTAACCAACTGAGCTACCTGGCCAGGGCCTTCATAAACATTCTTGACTAAACAGAATAATATGAACATTTATAAAAACAACCCAAATGTCATCTTCCAGAAACACTTTCATTAAAGTAATAAACAATACAGGGTCACCTTCTTCCTTCTATTTTTTAACCTTTTCTGGAGGTACCACCAATGCAAATGGACAAGAGAAAGAAACTAGAAGTATAAAACTGGGGAAAGAGTAGGTAAAAATCATCATTTGTAGATAATATGATTATACACATGAAAAACCCAAAGAGAATTAACCAAACACTATTCTAAACTATAAGAGAATTCAGTAAGGTAGGTAGCTTTTGTACATGCCAACAATAATCAGAAGATAGGAGAAAGGACCTAAACACATAGGAATACACTCAACAAGAAATATTCAAGCCTTAGCCAGTTTGGTTCAGTGGTTAGAGCATCAACCCATGGACTGAAGGGTTGTGGGTTCAATTCCAGCCAAGGGCACCGCTTGCAAGCTTGATGCCTGGCCCGGATGTGTCCCCCTCACATCAATGTTTCTCTCTCTCTCTCCCTTCCACTCTCTCTGAAAAAAAAAGCAATGGAAAAAATATCCTCCGTTGAGAATGAAAAATAGAGAAAGAAAGAAATATTCAAGATAAAGACAAAGAAAATATGAAATACTTGAGCACACAAAAGATGTGAGCAAATGGAAAGTCCTATTGTGTTCATGAAGATGTCAAACCTCCCTAGACATTTGATAAATTAATTTGTTAATACTATGTGAATGAAAACACCAAACTTGTAAAGGAATAGTCTCCCACAGAAAACAGCAAGGTGCAGAATGCTGTACATAGTATGCTACCATTTCTATAAAGGGGGAGGGGGAGACAGCATTTGTATATATACAGATATAGACTGCCTATGGAAGGCAATATAGGAAATGGGCCTCATTGGTTAGAAAAATGGGTAGCTGAAACAGGGATGGGAGGGACACTTCACTGTATAGCTTTTTGGTATAATTTTGAACCATGCCAATATATTACTTATTCAAATTTTTTTTAATGGAAAACAATCATATTACTACTTTTCAAAAAATCTCTTAAGGGCTCTATGTTGCCAGCAAGACTTTTCACAATTAAGCTCCAAATAATGGTATTGATGACAATAGGGGAAGCCGCCACCACCACCACCAGCATCCAAATCAACTTAACTACTGTAAGTTACTGCCCATGGGCCAAATCCAGCCTGCTGCATGTTTTTATAAATAAAATTTTATCGACACACTGCCACATCCATTTGTTTATATATTGTCCATGGCTGCTTTCATGCTATACAGCAGAGTTGAATAGTTGAGACATAGATTATATAGCCCACAGCCTAGAATATTTACTATCTGGCCCTTGACAGAAAATGTTTGCCAATCCCTGATCTAAATCAAGTTGTTACCGAGTGAAATGCTCAGTCTCTGACGCCATCTTGTTCAAGCCTGTTTTGTTCCCATGGCCTTCAGGCTAATAGCTTCTGCTTAGTCTTACATAAAGACATACTAATCACTAGAGGAATTCTGCTTGAGGAGATAAGGGAAGTATGTATTATTTATCATAGATTTATAGGAACCTCATGACCAGACTCACAGCAACTAGCACAGTCTTCCTTGAACCCTTGCTGGCTCCCAGATGTCTATGGTGGTCAATCACCTCTTGTCCCACCTATTTCCCCTTCCCTTGACATAAAAGAAGCCCAAACTCTATACTTTCTTAAGTACACAGTTGGATTTAAGCTATCACTAGGTCTTCCAGTTCTCAGTTGGCACCTTCTCAATCAAAAAACCTTTCCTTACTCCATACTCTGATGTGTTTTTTGTTTGTTTATTTGTTTGTTTTTTTAAATATATCTTTATTGATTTCAGAGAGAGGAAGGGAGAGGGAGAGAGAGAGAAACATCAATGATGAGAGTCATTGATCGGCTGCCTCCTGCACACCCCCTACTGGGGATTGAGCCTGCAACCCAGGCATGTGCCCTGACCGGGAATCGAACCACAATCTCCTGGATCCTAGGCCAATACTCAACTGCTGAGCCACGCCTGGCTGGGCCGTACTCTGATGTTTTGAGCTTTGGCCTTTTGAAGTATTGGGCACACAGACTTTGGACCAGTAACAAATTGTACTTTGACACTCAAGGTCTCCCAATGAAGCCCAAAACACCCTTAACTCAGTTTACCTTCCAGTTTGCTTTATTCCAGCCTGGCTGTTCTCTCTGTCCCTCATGGAGAAAGAGAAAAATAGATTCCTGCTTCTCATATGTAAAAAAAGGAAGGCACAGAGAGAAGCTGAGCACGTGCACCAGGTTCCTGTCTCTCATTGGCAGTATTGGGGTCTGTGAAGAAGGAGCACAGGACTAGGAAGGGGAACACCTGCTGGAGGGAGGGAAGG